AGAGCCCATTTGTGTCCTCTCCAATGGACAGGGACAGGGGGCTCTGACCAACATGACGGACCACCTCATGAGGTGTGCTCACTAGGGGTGTAAGAAGATAGTGATGCACTTGATTATCGCAATATTTTGTTCTGTGATATTGTATCAAATCTCAAAAACACTTGTCGACTTTTGTGTTTAGACCCCTGACGTGTTGATAGCAGTGTTGTAAACGTAAGTGGGGAGCTATAATGTTGGATGTTACAGAGACTGATGAATGATGAACAAAACCAACCTTTTTTTAACATTTTTTTCTCATTTTTTTTCTAATCGCAACATGTTGCCTTGCTTACTGTATTGCCATGTCTATATATATATTGAATATATAGAAACCCCTGTATCATTATATGCATTGTATTGCCAGATTCTTCCCAATTTACAGCCCAGTGCTCACCCTGCTGATTTCTATTTACAGTTTAGATTTTAGCCATTTAATGTTACTCAAAAAGTAAGCCTCACCTGCAGCAAGCCTGAAGCATAACAGTCACATCTATTGATAAAATCTTGTATCTGTGTTGTTGAACACATATGAGTGCTGAGTAGTTTGAACAGGACTGTTTTTATTAACTAGAAACATGCACCATTTTTGGTCATTTTTAAGGATTGTTAATGTAATGAGGATTTTCAATACTAAGTATACTAAGTAATACAGATCAGGCAGTTTTTTGAAGATGAGTATGTGGCTTCAGGTAGGGGATGGATGGGGGGTGGGGGTGTGAGGGGAGGCGCAACATCAGAGAGGTCCTTCAATTAAGATCAAACAGCTTTTTTATGTAAGGGTCACAGTATCTGAAGTTCCCTGCCAAAAAAGAGAGTGCAGCTAATTCTGGTACTCATGCTAATCATGTTTTTGATCAGACATCTGTGATTTGATTCAGAAATGGATGGGAGGCTAATTTTGATCTGTTTTCTCTTGAGAATCCTTTTGATCGTGAAGTATCACAGCCACTGTTAACATTTTAAAATGGGCTGCTCTTCTGATGACATTGCCATGTTAGGTAAATCTGCTGCAGTCGCACAGGGTTATCAACAATGTTATCAATGAGTAGTCAGCAATTGACATCTCTCACTTTACATGCCATTATCTGCCATGTAGTAACATTTCAAAGTAAAGACAAGAACTGCAGCAAAATGTGGAAACATTTCATGTATTTCCATAATAATTTACTACTACACAAAGCGTACCCATTATTTTGAAACAAATATATTACAGTGTTTTGTCATTTTCCCTCCACCAGCAGCCCTCATGGCCCGGTAACCTTTCACCAAGCCTCTGTATCCCACAGAATACACAACAGCCTTTCGTTCCCAAAGCCACGTAGAGACAACGTGGACATTGTTGCCTCACTGTCATCACAGGGGCACAGTCACGTCACTCCCACTGCCCCCTTATTATCACAGCGGCTAGTTTCTACTCTGCTGTGCTCTGCCACCCCGACCTAACCACCCACTCATCTCCCACCACGCGGAAAAAAAACCCTGGCTGGCAGCGTGCCATCGCCGCATTCCCGCCACTACTGACCGTGGTAACCCTGACATTCCAGATCTTAGCAGAAATGATTTTATCTCAGAAATGACCCACATAATTATGAGCTTCTGGTTTTAGGTATACTTTAGCTTTATGTGCCGTGAAAGTATTATAATTGATTTCCCATTATACTTCTTTTTATATTACTTTCACAGTGTCCTTACAGAGCTTCTGTCTAATGTGCTGTCCGTAAAGGGGCTTTAGTCAGTACATTTGATTAAGTGAACTAGTATCACTGTAGACCTGCATGTTCTTGTGATTTTGCACGTTCTTCTGTGTACCCGATGGTGCGAAAAGTTACCAATTATTGTCATATTATCTACAGAGTGTGTGCTCTTATGTCTTTGACTATGTGTGTGTGTGTGTGTTGTGTGTGTGGCGCATTGATTGACACTAAGGCGCAGCCGGGGGTACCCTGCCTGTTAATGTTTGATTGCACCCAACACTTCCCTTGGGGGTGGGGGATGGAGGTCTGCATCTGCTGAGCCGTAATGAGCCTGAGCAGATGTTGGCCAGATGTGGCCCCTGAAGGAAGGGGGTTGGACGGTAAAGAGAGAAGAAAAATAAGAGAGGAAACAAGCTAGACTAGCAAGGAAGCTCGCCATCCGCACACCTGAGCGCTTTGTTCACCCTCTACTCAACAGGAATTAAGAGCTCTTCCTAACCCTTCCTGCTCCTTTTCTTACAAACACCACACTGCATTGCGCTCCTCCTTTCATCCTAACTTCCTGCCTCCCTGCCTCCCTCCACGCCTCTCCCTTTGAAGTGAAACAGTGTGCAGGGAAGCAAGCCGCGGAATCGATGCTCCAATGGCATTAAAGGCCAGGAATGTAGTGAGCACGCCTCCTCCTCATTCCAACCTCCCCTCTCTTCACTCTTCCACACCTCTCCTTCCTTCCCTCTCCATCCTCGCTGACACATCCCTCATTTAATTCCCCTTCTGCTCTCTTTGTGGCACTCCATGTACCACCTTTCCCCTCAAGAACGCCTGCTATTACTTTGGGCTGTGGGTATTGTTAGAACACTGGACGCGAGTACAGCCGTCAAGGTTTGGCGGCTTGTTTTTAAAGGTGTGTTTGTTTGTTTGTGTGTGTGTGTGTGTGTGTGTGCATGTGCGTGTGCGTGTGTGTGAGTACTGATCTGAAGCAAATGCAGATAGCTCCAATAGTGTAGCAATCTGATTGATTGATCACTCATGTTACGTAAAATTACTATGTAATAATTTGGTAAATTTAGTCATTTCGTCATGATTCATATTTAAGGATCTATAGCTTTTCTCTCTTTTAACTCATTTTAAATTGAATATTTTGGGCTGTTGGTCTGATAAAACAAGCCATCTGTTACTGTTGGCCCTAAGAAATTATGATTATTTCAACAAACAGTTTCATGTAAATGTCATGTTGTTGTTGTCTTGCAGTTCTTGTTCAAAGTGGAACAAAAAAAAACAATGCTAGGGAGAGCTAGATGGCTCTGGTAAGAACAAATTGTGTATCTCTTCTAGACCTACTGTAGCTGACTTTTAACTGTCAGTTTGTCAGTAAATAATACAATTCACTTTTAGATTTTTTTTCTTTTCACTTGCTTGTCACATTGGTTGAAAATCTCTGTCAAGTTATTCAAAGCTGGGGCAGAAGTCTTTTGACTAGAAAGTCTGTAGTTTGGCAAACTCCCAAATGTTGGTATACGTGTCCTTCAGCAACAACACTTTAAAAGAGATTCTCAGTAACCAGCAGTAGAAGACTGTGGCTGTTCTGAAAAAACTGCCGCTGTGCATGTGCAAAACTATTTAAATGTGAAGTCATGCTCAGTTGTCTGGATAGATGATGAACGAGGGAAATGTTTCCCTGGTTAAACTGAACATTATGTCCTCTCTCTTTATTCAGTCTCGCTAAACATGTGTTTTTCTTTACCCATGAAAAGGAAAATCATTTTGTCAAGAACACTCAAGGGAAACTGTCATAAAAAAGTAGATCTTCTCTGTTTTGCTCTGAGGCTATGGCTCTCTTTGCCTCGGAGTGCAAATGACCTTGTGAACTTGTCTTTAGACAGCAAGTTAGTCCGTCTGTCTCAGAGTTTGTCGTTCTGTCAGTAATCCAGCAGTGTGAGTCATCCACCTCCCTCAGTCTGCCAAGTTACAACAGGCTCAAGGCCTTCTCCACTGACAGAACAATGAGACAGGAAGGATGTTGGCTAACCGTGTTATGTGTCAGTATTTCATATTGGCCAGGCTAATTAATACTTGTATGCTTTATTCTCCCTCCAACGTTGATCCCTGTGCTTTTCAAACAGGGCAATAAAGTTGGCTAGATATTTCGTGCTCCATTTATAGTGTGTTAACATTATCATTATAGGGCAACACGCTGCACGCCTCTAACTTCTCAGCCAGGTAACCAAAGTTACTTTCACCGACTAATTCCGTGTGCAGCATAAAATCAGATCACGGTTGCTCTCAGAATGATGGAAAGAGGCCAACTTCTTTTTTCAAACAGCAATAGTTTGCTTTACTGCTCCCAGTGTTCTGTGACCTGTAGTATTAAGCCACATTTACCACCGGTAACTACAGGTGTCACATTCACAACAGCAGTGCAACTACATAATAAATACCGGTTAAAGTTGATTAATATTTCCTTCCAATCAGGACTGCATTCTGCAGTTTTTACCCATCACTCCTCAGTGAGCTGGCTCCTTAGTAGAGGTCTGAGAGCATTTCATAGAACTATCTATTTATCATTATAGATTTCCCATGGTTTTTGGCCTGTTCACACTGAAAGAGACTTAAAAAATAATACCATTACTTTTGTAAGAAGGGATGAATTGGTATTTATTTTAGCTCATTTTACCACTTACACTTCAACTTGCATGTCAAACTCCTTTTTAGAACATAATCCGAAAGTGACTCTTTAACCCTTTTCCTTTCTTACATAGACTTCAGCTGATTACATTCAGCACTTTGACTGTAGGAATCACTACATCTTCTTTCAGTACTCTAACTTTAGCTCCCACACAAATTCCTTCAACTTCAGTTGTTAAACACATTTCAAATGCTCCAAAAAAAATCAACATTTTAAGACCTACGAGCTGTTTCAAATGTCTCGCACACTGACGTTTTCTTCAGAAAGATCATACCTTTTCTAGTTCTCTATAGCTGTTTGCTTCCTGTACATTTCCAGCAGGGTGTTGAAGCTGGACACTTAGGGGCGGCTTTAATGGGGAATTATTTTGATAGCCCATTGTTTTCAGTGGCATTTCAGGGTGTCGCAGTGGTGATTGAGTGACTTAGTGTGGGTTTCTTCTGGAATATAATGGATTTGATAGAGCAAAATTTGTACAGACCTGAGCACAGCACTTAAGTCAAAGAAAATGCACTACTTTCTTTCTCTATTGCTTTCATCTCCTGCTCTTAACCGGTCTGACACAATTAACACCCCCGCAGGCCGCCGCCAACAGTCACCACTCCAACGGTTTGCCCCCCCATCACGTGGGCAGCTCCAGAGTGGAAGGATGGATGGGAGACAGAAGTGCCAGTAGGGCAGGTGCGACTTCTGGGAGCCAGACTGGGGCCGGCGGGAGAGGAAGAGGAAGGAGAAAGGAAGAGGAAGAGGAGAGAGGGCAGACGCACCCACTGGAAGTTCTTTCCGGTCAACCATCGGGTCTGGACTCTACCCTGCGGCACATTGTTCAACAGCTGGATATCCTCACGCAGGTCAGTTATTAGTAACGGTCCAAACTGTCAGCTCAAGATACTGGCAGGTTGGGAAATCTCATAAAACATCATAAAAATGCAGAAATCAATATGAATGTGTGGGAGGCGGGCCAACAGTTACTGTTAAAACTTAAAGGTCCTCTGTCTGAAGAGTTTACTCCAAGACTCTGATCACATTTATCAAGCTAAATGTCCTTGATGTTAGATGTAGATTAATTAACGAGAAAGTCGGTTGAAGCAGGTGATTAATCCCCTCCACCAAACTCACAGCTCCTGAGGCTAAGTCAAATAAAGACATAAAAAACAAACACAGAAGCCACCAGAGGTAGATTTTATGGTTTACCTGTCCCCCTCTGCACCTGTTTGAACAGCTGCCACTAGTAGCAGAACAGAGACATAGTAGGCTAATGATTTAGCTTGATGAAGCATTGTTTGTGGCTGATGTTTAACTTTTTATGTTCTTTCTTTATTTAAATATCTATACACAATATGCTTGAGGTGTGGGAAAGAAATTATGAATTGAGGGGAAAATGAGTATAAAATGCAAAGTATCTTCTTTATAGAGTAACTGTAGTGCAAAATTTGACTTATACCAAAAAAGTTCTGATGCTCTGTTTTAATGTTTTCACATTTTACATTTAATGTCTTTATCAACAACAAACATAAAATGGTAAACCCATTAAAAAAATATATATGTATTTTCCCCAGAAAAATCAAATCAATTTGCTGCTGTATTTTGTATTTGATAAATATTTGGTGGATTTTCTGCTTCCCATCTTTAAAAAAATATGATAATTCCTTAAAAAAACAATCTAGACATTCTAAATATTTTCTTTAAAAAGGCTTGGTAGAATTTTATAATCAGAACTGTACTGCTGAGCTACTCTCTGCAGGCCAAAATATTGCTGCCCTGATGTGTCTAAAGACCTAAAAATCTTCTTCTGTATCTCTTGAGCTTTTATGTTAGTTTTCCATAATGGCAACTCAGACTGATCTCTCCTCTTCTGATTTTCTACTTCTATAATTATTCCATGTCAGCTTTATAATTATTGTACCCCCCTCTCATCACACCTCTACATGCACACAGACTGTTTCAGTGCTGGAGGAGCGTCTCACCCTGACTGAGGACAAGCTGAAGGAGTGTCTCCTCCACCAATCCCACATTCTCAGTGATGTGCAATCATCGGGAGGGAGGCGGAGGACTGAGAGCGAGGAGACGGATGGATCACCTGTCCACTTCACTTGAGGACGACCTCGCCCTTTGTCAGACTGCAGCACAAACACACAAACCGAGTTGTATTGGTTGACCCCAAGACAGCTGGTCATGAGTGTCTGTTTGTGTGTGTATGTGTGTCTATGTAAATATGTGTGTCTGTGTGTGATTCTAAATGTCCACCTTGGTGGTCTCTCTCCGGGGTCAGTAGGTTAATCAGGATTTGGGCTGGGGTCAAAGTGAGTTTTTGTGTGTGTGTGTGTGTGTGTGTGTGTGTGTGTAATAGCAACAATTCTCCATGTATTTCGTCA